AGAAACGGTCTTTTCAGAATACAAGCATAGCCCTGGGAATCACCAAACATTACGCTATCAACTGATTACTAATAATCTAGGAAAAGAGCTCTGCCGGCGAGGAATAAACGCGTGTGAATCATAGTCTTGTTTCACATTTTTCAGCGATGTAAAAGGATTTATTAAACAACCGCTTGCATATACAGATAGTTCGAGATTAACGCTTACGAATAATTGCTAACGCTCTTTACCAAAACCTCTTGTCGATCGTAGGGGACGCGATTGAAGATCTGTGTTATCAAACGGAGTTGAATCGAATTTCATTCCTATAGAAGTAAAAAAGTTAAAATTTTCAAAAAAAATTTCGTACATATATTATAAAGTTCTCTCACCACTCATAAAGTTTAATGGGGATATGTCTTTATCCAAAGCTAAGAGGCGACATTCTTCCGCTTGTATTAAATCGGTGCAAAAGTAGTGGCGGTCTCGGAACGGGATATTCAAATCGTTATAACTAAGTTCAAACATACTTTGATCAATCAAAATAGGATATACTACAATCAACACATGATTTCCAAAGTAAAATAAGTCTGTTGATTTTTATAGCATAAAAATTGGTGACTCAGGATTCGACAAACTTTTGAAATCATTTCTTTCCTCCTGCTGGTTGTTGATATTTTCCATGCAGGAATTTATCTAGTTGCTTGAAGGAGTGGTAGTCGATAGGCATGATGTCTGCGAATATGGAGAATGAGGCGAAAATGGGTAGCCCACTTCCTCCAACTTTTGGCGCATCTGTTGTGCGACATGTGGCTGTCGGCTGGCTGTGATCAAACTGCCATTACTTTTGCACCAAACTTTTCACCTTTCCAATTCGCTTCAAATAGAGTACGACTGTAAATTGGCTGACGTTAAGTTTTTTGCAACATCTCGTGTAGAAAAGGATTAGCTTCGATGATTACTCTCAGCTGGTCATTAACAACTTTCATTAGCAGGCCACCACGTCCCTGATCTTCAGGTTATCGTCTCAATTACGAAAATTTTCAAACCCCACTGCACTGTAGTTCGCTAGCTGTTCATTGGCCAGATACGGTGTTTATGTTGCAAGTTAATTTGGGTAATTGAACCTTTATTCACATAAAAACTAATAATATTATGAAAAATAACATCAGTAACTCAACGATAAATAATAAAGACAATTATCAACGATGTTGGAAGTCAAAGAGACTATAATACAATAAACACTTATCACATAAAGACACTAAAAAGTGCGCTAAGATGAGCAGAGACGACTCGACGTAAACCTAGATGTGCTCGCATTAGATGGTGATAAGGATAGAACTGAATTAGTTTACACGGAGGATACCCGGGCCCCGACCTACCGACTAAAGGCAGTGATAGGTAATCGATTCGTTCTCACATTCTACCACAGTTGAATAGAACACTGAAGTAACTAGAACAATCACCCTGAGGAGAATGAGTAACCTAATGAACGAAGAACTGACTGAAAAAGAAGTAGTACAATGAATGCTTCTCAGCAAGGATCAGTGAACGATGTAGTGATAAAGAAAAGGCTATTGTAAGAATCGCTTCAATTACCAAGTGAATGCAATTAAGTTACAATATAATGTAACCAAATTGGTAAACCAAGGTGATGACTATGGTGAACATGGTGGACTGAAGCGATGGAGATACTTCTATATCTGCCAGCGCACGAGAATGTTGCGGCTGCCTGTGTCGACTGTGTGGACGTGTCTTAACGTTCTATTCGCCGACTACACTTAGCTAGAACTCGACTTTGTTGAGCAGTATGGGCCAAATACTGAATTCAAGGACTGAAAGCGCCATTCCTTTTGGCCAATCAACATATTCTTCCCATAGATTGAAATAAATGTAAAATTGAAAGCAAGTACAAAATGGTTATTAATAGAAGACAGAGTAAGAAATGTGTTTCAGATCGATATATAATTCAACTTCATTTATCTATGAGTTTATTCCGATATCAAACGGAAGAATTTAAGAATACACAAACCGTCACTACTGTTGCACCAACCTATTACATTTATCCAGATTGTGAATATCATTGCAACTGTTTTTGAAGTAGGCAAGCAATATGGTTCCAATAATGCTGAGTGATATGCAAAGTGAGCGAGCTTCTTCTAGAGTTAAACACACTCTCCACTTATTCAATGGGCCTGTGCAAACACCGAAGCCATTGAAACCACCTTCACCGCCACCGGTACGGGTGAAGCTTCGCTTCAACTACCATTGGGGTCGAATGGTGAATGCCGCTCAGCATTTTGGGTATATAATTATACGATCATGACCTTGTTATAAAAGCGATAAAATAAAAACTTTTGCAGATTGTAATGTGATTTCAAAAAATTAATAATATCTCAGGTTCTTTCCAGCCAAAAATGTTTCAAATAATGCTTTATTAGGAGCGTTGTTGGAGCGGTGCAAAAGCTATTTTGATTGATAAATATGTTGCCAATGGAGAATCAGATGTTTAAATTAATACTAAATCAATTGTCAAAATGGTGGCACAAACCACCTAAACATAAACCTCAATTTTTTTTCGATGTTGTGAGGGTGCTGTGTGTTGTTGTTAGAATAAAAGTGCATTGTCACTGTGCCAGTTTGTGGATATTTCCAACGACAATAATATTACCATGGGAAATCCATATCCGATGCAGTACATTTCATTGTATAATGTCTGTCTGTTTAAATCCCTAGACTGAAATTGTCAAACATCTATCCATGCCCTTCAAATCCGATTTTAATTGGACCGCGATTAGATGATCAATGTTCTGCTTTTACTGATGAGCTAGCACGAAGTTACAAGGATCCTTATAATTAAAATCTCGGGTAAGGTTTTCATTATAGGCAGAATATCCATGCCGCCTCTTTCCTTCTATCTTTCAACGTGCTATATCTCGTTCTTGGATAATTTTTCTGTTGTACTGGTTCCAAAAAAAAATTCAGTTTTTGGAGTGCCTATAGAATATAGAAGACTAAACTAGTCTACAGTTTGCCTAGTTATTTTTCTAGAACTTCCATTTGTAGCCTTGGGAGAAAAGCGGAAGTGTGGCCGAATGACTAGTTATGCTTGGCGCGGCTCGACGAGGGTTGGTTGCCTCTCCCCTCCCCAACACTCTTCGGCAAGCAATGACGACGTCTCCAGCCTGGCCACCTTCAAGACTGTAAAGAGGTGTGCTCAACCAGTATTAGGACATTCATGAGGAAGACAAATCTTCAGCCAGTGCTAGAAGTACTGGGACAGCACAGAAACACAAAATTGTGATACGAGTCAAATAAAGTGATATGTAGCACTATCAAGTTACTTAGACTAATGACACTTTGATATCGCTGGTAGAAGGGAGGATCGAGGGCCTTCGATGGTGCAGCGGGTTACGCGTGAGCCTTTGAAAACAATAGTAGCGGGTTCGAAGCCATCCAAGATCCCAGTCCTGCGTGTATCTGAGCATTTTCTGACTGTATTTTACACCACACCATGTCTTAAAAAAAAGAGTAGGCAGGAGGAAAAGAGTAAAGATCACTCATTCATTGTATTGATATTATATGAACTTGTGATGATTCGACCCAGCGCTCAAGGTCCACTAAGCCTTCCATCCCTGAGGGTTCGGTGAATTGGTTCCATTCATGTCTGGGAGGATAACAGCACTGACCTGATATATCGGTAAGCCGCCGCGAGTCATCATGAAGGCCAGATATGGATCCAGTCACATCGAACAATGCTCTGATGGAGCCGAATGCATGACATATCTCTAAGGTGTTGATCAACGCCGGGAAGGTTATCGTGTGCTCACATTTCTCATGGAAGCCACCACTTCTTGCATTCCATTCGTTCTCTCGATTCCACCACTCACGAAACTCTTCCAGTTGGTCCGGTCTGATGCTACAGGATTGTTGCTTGTGGCCCTCATGGAGAGCTGCAGCCCATCAAATTTCAAAGCATTTGTTAATTGAATTCTATAACTAAGAGATTACGAGAGCACACTTAGGCTTAGCTTCAGACTTAGGCTTGAGGCTTAGGCTTAGGCTTGGCTTTAGTTTAGGTTTAGGCTTAGGATTGAAAAATGATGTGATCACAACTCTCCGCTAGTATCTTGTGTTCTTCGTCAATGTATGTACGTTGAATGATGGACGACTCTCCCTGGAATCCGGAGATAATCGGGCTTGGGCATATTCGCATGAATTGGAGGTAGCGACATAGGCCTATGTAGACGTGTGTTGTTTCAGTAATTCCCGGGGAGAAGGAGAAGCCTGATGGACGCTACGCGGGTCGAACCAGTACCAGGATTGTGATAACCGTAACCACTACCACTAAGCTAACCATTCCTTTGTGTGACAATGCCATCTATCAGCCACACCCGACGATAGACGAATTTGATCTCTCGACTCCCTTGAAACGGACGTGAGCATTACGGTAATGCTGTGAAATTACGTAATATGTGGCGCCATATTACGATAAATTACGGTCATATCGGTATACGGCGCTGGATCATTTTAGTTAGGGGATTTTTTATTTAAATTATTTTAAATAACTTGGATTTGGTGAGGGTAGCCGCTTCTCATGACCTACCACGTGGGAAATGTCTCGGCGTACGATTCAGAAGTACTGGAAGTGTTTTCTGTTCCATTCATTCTTTCGCGGTCTCGATCATCCGGCCAAATGCACCGACTCAGTGGCCCATTCAAGGAAAGTATTGGTTTTTTTTCTAAATCGATTATCTCGATGGGTTTTTTTTCGCAGTCGAATTCCTAACAAAGTCTTCTATAGGTTTAATAGATGTTTATTGTTTGTTGAAGTCATTTCACCTGTCATTCTACTCGATGGATTTGAATGGCATTGTCGATTTGTCCCCTTCGACCATCGTCTTTCCATCTTTATTTATTTTTATTCCTTTTATTTGTACTTATAGTATTCCTACTGCTTATTTCGCAGTGTTATGATGTTACTTATACAACTTAGAGAATTGAGTGGTGAGCAAAAATACGACCTCAGACAGGAGTCGAACCCGCGTTCCATCCTGTGCGGGGACGCGTGCTCTACCACTACACCACTGAAGCACATTTGCCCGACCACTCATTCTTCAACATCTCTATGTTAGCTATCAGCAACCTACCTATGATAGATTTGGTCTTGTATGCGGTTTCGCTTTACAAACCCAGTTGAGTTAATAACCATTGTGATAAGTAATACTCGGGATTTCTAGTGTTTTAACTGCCTTTTTCGCAGTTAAAGCAGTCAACAGTCCTTGAGCACGCGTCTTCGGTATGGATGAGACGCGGGATCGACTCCCGTCTGAGGTCGTATTTTTGCTCACCGCTCAATCCCCTTAGGAATATATGAAACATCATAATACTGCGAAAAAGCAGGAAAGCATAGAAATGTCCTCTTTTTTCTGTATTTTCAGTTGTTTAGAATGTCTATGATTTGCTTCAGGTTTGGGTTTGCTGCTTATCCTTTTCTCTTCATAGGAACGGATCAATTTCAACGAACCGCTTCGCTCTGCTGATCGGTACGAAGGTGATTTATGATGATTTCAATACTTTTTGTTCCACACTACAAGGTAACGCCTATGTGCCAGAATGTGGAGTGATTTTTCTGTGGAACTCGAGGGGGGTTGATCCCGCGTCTCAACCTTTCAAAGGGGCGTGTTAACCGCTGCACTACAGGGCTTCTGTTTCCCTATAACTCCTTTCTTTATGTCTAGGAACCTCGGGCTAAGTTGAACCCGCGTTTCACCCTTTGCGCGGCGCTCAAACACCGCTGTACTACCAGGTTTCTACTTTCCTATAGCCCTTTCTGTGGTGCGAGGTACCGGAGTTGTACAGATGTAATGGAGAACTCGCGTAGATTCAACTAGGCTGGTGCAAAAATAGTGACGGTTTAGCGTCGTTGGAATCCCGCTGATAGCGGTCTATATCTTCCAATAAATGAGGTTATTTCTCGCTTATTTTAATGCGCTTTCCTGGCGTTAAGTTTTGGTGTTAATGGCATATTTTTCACTTTGTTTATCTATTTATTCTGGACCGTCTTCACGTTTTTTTTACTGTGCGGATCCAGTACTGCTAGCATTCGAATTCGTTTTTTTTCGTCTTCTTCTTGAACGTTGTAGAATACTGGTTGGGCACGTCTCCTTGCAATCTCGAGTGTAACCTGGCTGTGGCGTTCCATAGGGCGTTCGTTATCGACTACTGCGGAGTGTTGGAGGTTGGGGATCAGCCCCGCGCTGCGCCGCGACGAGCACCACTACCACTCGACCACGGGCCCTAATGGCCTACTACTTGTGTTTATTTTGTATATATTCTAGACAATGCAAATCATGTTAGACAAAATCAAATTCGATTAGTTTTTTTTTTATTCGAGTTCAGAATGGGATAGGTAAATCAGTAGGGTCAACTCGCTACATCAATAACGCATTTAACCGAGGAACTTCCAGCAAACGGACACTGCGGTGGTGGTCAAGAGGTTTCGTAAAGGAGATGAGAGCTCCTTGAAGATGAGGAACATCAAGAAGAACCAATTGAGAGCGATCATCGAAACTAATTCTGCTAAAGCTACACGAGATTTTAGGATGAACTCAACGTCGACTATTCTAACATTCTCATCATTTGGAGCAATTTACAAAGGAACTTACTGTTTCAGCACGGGCTGAAATCACAGTTACTTTTCTCCAACTTAGTAGAAATTCAGCGATTAGTTGTGCTCAACAGTTTGCAGGAGGGAGTTATCTTTGTTGGAGGCGTCGTGGCGAGGTGGTTGTGAAGCTCGTCGTGGCGCGCGTGGAGCCGATCTCCACCCTAGAAACCTCTCCGGTGGTTAAAAACAACGCTTTGCAGATCGCTACAGCCAAGCTATCCTCGATATTATGAGACTCGCTCAATCAATACTCTACGACGTTGAGGAATAGGCTAAAAAACGATTGAATGCTAGAAATACTGGGATCCGCACAGTGAAGAAAAAACGCTGTGAAGGCGGATCAATGAAGTGTCTAAAGTGTGTTGAACGGTCGTTCCATAAGTTTTCCCACTATGGCAATAAACACCAAATTTACTAACTAGAAGTAGTAAAACTCCATGATTTTGGTATCATTCAATTGCGCATTTTCTTGCGAACATTTTGCTATAGAACTAGCCTATAATTGCTTTGAGACGGGGCTGTCTTGGGAACAAATTCGCTTGCTGCTCATGAGCGAATGGCTCGGACAAAATACTACTGAAGCGGTGCGTAATATTAATTCAATCTGGGACGGTGATGCGTTTGCTGAAACGACGACTAGGAAGTGATTCGGGAAGTTTAGAGATGGAGAATATAGTCTGGAAGATCAGTCATGCTCGGTCCGTCACGGAGAGCTCCATTGAGCTTCCGTGCCGCTTCACATGCATTTTCCTCTACAAGCCATTTGTGCATGGTTAGCAAAGAGAGGTCTCTTTACGACAGCTTTATCTTAAAGCTATAGACAAGTTCCCTTCCCAAATGTTCGCATGTTAGTGCGCTATTGAATGATACCAAAATCATACAGTTTCAATTACTTGTGCTTATGCCTGATAATCATTTTTTGAGCCACGCATGTCAGTGGTCTGTCAAAGAAGGCTGACCTCAGTCTATAAGTTTATAGTCTACAAGTCAGCCCTCTTTGACAGACCACTAACATGCGTGGCTCAAAAAATGATTATCAGGCAAATTGAAATTTGAGCTGTGGTCTTAAGAAAACACTTGAAACGAAAGATACTTGTGGTTAGTAAATGTGATTATTGCTATAGTGCCAAAACTTGTTGAACGGCCTATTTATAATCGAATAGTTCCTGGATTTCCTGAGATTTCTGATTTAGTGATTTTAGGCCTAATATAGAGTTTTCATGAACTTATAAGAGATCTGCTGTAAAGAAAATGAAGTGATGTGTATTCGACGGTTCGCTTGAAATTCCTGTTCTGTCGTGAAGTTCTGATACAAATGATTTCTTGCCCGTCTCGGCACCCCATCCATTCGGTTTTTTCCCTCGCCTCCATCCATCCTCCACAGAGGTGCCCGAACATTTCACGTGTTGATTCGACTGCTGCTCGAGAACTTCGTCTTCTATTTGAATCTCCGTGAAATCCTGGTCGATACGACTCTCCTTGCAGTTTCGCAACCAGCCGAGCTAAGACGTTCCTGGGTGTACAGTTGATTGATGGCAGGAGAGATAGGAAACGGGTTTCAACCACTGCCTTTTTTAGCACTTTACTTCCTGATATACCTGAACTAGTAACCACTGCGCTTCTCCGCCCCCACATGTTTGTATAGTCGATGATTTTCCATAATATTAGTCAGGATCTCGTGGAATTTTTCTCTTACGGTTTTTGACGTAAAACGAGATGTCTCGTTCGAAAAGTTACCACTTAACAGTACTCAGGATCCGTTGTACATAGAAATTCTTGATATATTCGATGATATGTTTAGTGCAAAATTCTGACGTCAGGCGGCACTCGAACCCGTACATCACCCTGTCCGAGGATTGTGCTTAACCAAATGCACTACCGAGGACCTGTTTCGCGACCACTCTTTCGACGCTACAACGCTACAATCGGCAGTAATCAACCGTCAACGTGTTAAGCGCGCACTCCCGGAAAAGATGAACTGCGGGTTCGAGTCCCACCTGACGTCAAGGTTTTGCGTATCACTGAACATCATTGTGTATAACAGTGACATCATGCTACCGCTGAAAAGCGGTTAATCAAAATGAGGTCTCGTCGATCTAATATTATTATTATTATTTGATATCTAAGATTTAAGCGAAATAGAGTTCAGACTGAGCTGAGAAAATTGGTTATGTGCCGTTTGCAGGTGTGATGGTCATCCTTTTCAATTGGACACCAGCTCTTCGATTCAAAGTTCGTGTTATATTTATTGCCTTTGCTGGTATGCTGTAAGTTCGGCTAGCAGTATCACGAATAAAGTTGTACTTCAGGTGATAACCTTTTGATTTTTGTTATTACTCATTTGCTTTCTTACTCGCTGTAATCAGATTTCTAAAATAATATGCGACGCATCCGACTACAGACCGGAGTTGAACCAGCGTTTCTTCATCGCCATGGGCGAGTGCTAGCACTGCGCTACCGCAGCCATCTCTTTGCTACTCACTGTTTTCGATTAGTGGGGTTTGATGCCGATTTATGCTTACTAGACCAAACCAGCTGATCGACCGGTTGCTGGCAGTTTTGCTAACATATAGCGCAGAGCGCTAGCAAAGCGGTGGGCTTAGTCGTACAGTGGCAGCACGCTCTCCCGGTATGGGCGGAGTGCGGGTTCAACTCCTGCTTGAGGTCGAAGTTTTGCATATCGCTCAGCATCCTTGGATATGTAACTAAAACATTGTGAACTTCTGTAGACATTAAAATCAAATATTCCTAAGAGAATTGAGTGGTAAACAAAAATTCGACCTCAGACAGCAGTTGAACCCGTATTTCATCCATATCGGGGACGCGTGCTACCACTACACCACAGAGGCGACCGCTTACTCACTGCTCATTCTTTAGAATCTTTCTAACATAGTTATCAGCCACCAACCATCAACAGGTTTGGTCGGGTAAGCATTACTGCTCTATAAACCCAGTTAAGCTGAGAGCCATTGTATTTATATGATTCCTAGATTTCTCATGTTTTTACTGCTTTTTTCGCACTGTTATGGTGTTTCAAATATTCCTAAGAGAATCAAGTGGTAAGCATGAAGTATAGTGGTAGCACACGTCCCCGGTATGGATGAAGTGTGGGTTCAACTCCCCTATGAGATTCAATCTTTGCTTACCACTCAATTCTCATAGGAATACTTGAAACGTCAAAACACTGCGGAAAAAAGCAATAAAAACATAAGAAATCTTGGAGGCGAAATAAAAGCTTTTTGAAGATTTCACACACTGAGTTTCTTTCAGAGTTATCCGTATCCGATAACGTTAGCACTGTCGAACCTCATGTGGGTTCCTGTGTTCTCCATACCGTTTCTACGAATGTGGGAATATAAAATAGTAAAACTGACGTCTATGCAATATAGTAAATACCTTACTCCAATATCTGCTGGTGAGTTTTTTGTTGTACCAATTGTTTTGACCTCATTGTCTTTAGATTTTCTGCTATTGACAGACATGTTTACTGAAATTTCTGAAAGATTGAGGAGTAAAGCAAACAAGATGAACCTTTCAAAGTCGGTTAATCCCTGAAGGATGTGCCATCCATTCGTCTTTGATTTTTAGCATCGCTTGAGGTGATTCAATGCATATCTGGCCTTTAAAATGACAGGCGGTGGCCTTTTGATGTGCGAAGTCAGTGCTGCTATCTTCACAGATAAGTCTGATATCAGTGCACCGATCACGGAAGGATAGAAAGCTTAGTGAACCTTGAGCGCGGGGTCTAACTATCGACCATCAAATGATCGATCATCATGTGTGCCACGGAGCACCTCTTATCACTGCGCCACGAGCGCTTTACTTGGGAATAAGGTAGACCAGAAGTGGTAGTATAGGTTCATGAAGGATAGATTGTTTGGCGTTATTCAGTTGCTGTGGAGAGCGGCGTGTATCCTGCTCCATTCATAGCGTTGTAGAGGTGGTGGGGCGGGTAATTTGGTCTATAGAATGATTTCAGGTTTCCTATCGACCTATCAGGCCACTCTTCTTGGCCTACCAGTAAATTTGCAAAATGAGAGATAGATGAATGACTATATGTGTCAAGGAGCTGTGTTCAACGGAAGCTGATCATTGTGTGTTGCAGGAGACCTTTAGTCACTGCGCTACATGGGTTCCTTCAAGAAATCATGAGTATAAGGTGGATTTTCTATCAATCTTGGGAATGATTAACCCTGGACTATATAATGGACTGACCTTTTCGGAGATACGTCGATGTTAACACGTAATTCGATGTTCGATCACTAATTTTTCGACGATATCGTTTTCCTCCAAAGTAATTTTTGACGAGTGAGATCACTTGTAGATTGTTCCTATGATGAGAATGAGCTGTCACCATAAGGAAAGCAAAAAATGCCACGCTTCAATAGAATGTCCTCTATTTTGTTGATTTCGGCGATTGTGTTAGAGGATTTCCTACTGGCGAGCCATTTCATCGAGATCTTGCTCAGTTCGGCTAATGTTGTTCTGTGATGGAGACTGTTCTTCGCTTGTTCGAAATGTGTAGAAAACCTTCTTTCTCTATCCTATCAGTTGGATAATGAATTGTCTGATGACCAGACGTCTATAACCATATATCCATAATGTTGAGTGACACGCTAAATCGGGGCCGCCGTGGCCGAGTGGTTGTGATGCTCGTCGAGGCGCTGTGGGGCTAACTACCCTCTCCCAGCACTCTTCGGCAGTCAGTAACGAACGCCGAATGGAGCGCCACAGCCAGGCTGTCCTCGAGATTGCAAGGGACTCGCTCAACCAGTATTCTACGACGTTCAAGAAGAAGACGAAAAACGATTTGAATGCTAGAAGTATCTGGGATCCGCACAGTGAAAAAAGAAACACTGTGAAGACGGAGCGATAAAGTAAAATAAAGTGTGATGTGCTCATCCTTTGAGCCTCGGGCGGGAGTTGTACCCTTATCTCACCCCTACCGGCGGGAAGCGTGCCAATCCAGTACACTTTCGGGCTCCTGTTTTGCTATCACTCTTTGTGTGATGCAAGGTATCGGTTCTGTCAACGTCTATGAGTTCGTTTACTAGAAAGTTGAGTATTAATCATCAGTATGTGGTATTTCCCAAATTGTGCTGAGGACAACGCAGACTCAAAGTGAAGAAGACTGGAACTAACTACTTACATTTTTCATTGTGAATGAAGAAGAAGATTTCACAAATCCAGGAAAGGCAATAGCAGCTGCAAGCGCTTATTTTAGTCTATGGAAGGTACCTGTATCCTACGTACATACCGGTGAGCGGGATTGCTCAGTTCCTCTTGTCCTTCTTATTTGTTTTTGTGGTCTGGGCCATAACAGTATGATCAATCATTGGTCTGTCGCTTCTTGCTGTGTGCTCTTTTTGGCACATAATCCATTTATTTTACATTTTTTTATTTAGACGTGGTTATTTCTCAACTCTTGAAAGGAACGAGAAGTTTGATGAACCTTGCGCGGCTTCAAACCAGCGCTAGAATCTTGGCAACCAGTATCACTACCACTACGGCATCCGCCCACGTGTGCCACCATAACATCCACCAGCCACACCCGATTAGATAGGGAATTTGATAACATGCTTGAAATGAATGCGGACAATTGCGGTAATGTCGTAAGATTAAGTTTTATGTGGCGCCACATTACGGTAAACTAAGTTCATTTTGGTCTACCACGCTGGAATCTTTCGGCTAAAAGGGATATTAAAATATTGAAATTGTTGTAAAATTACTTGCATTTGAAGAATACTGGCCAGCTTCTTATCACTTACAACGTGGAAAATCTCCAGCATTTGAATCAGAAGCCCTCGAAGTGTTTTGTTTGATCTATTGTGGCTATAGATTACCCGGCCAAATGTCGGCATAGAGACCTTTTGAAAATGAAAGATATTTATTTTCTCTTTCATAAGTTTCATTGTTTTGATCGACGTTTGCTATCGGAACTCTTAATAAAATTGTTTATCTATAAAAAATAAATAAGTATTTATGTTTTGCAATATCGCCTTTAAGTCTTACAAATTTACATTGATTGCTGACGTCACTTCATTTGGTATTCTACTCGATGGATCTAAAAAAGGCTATGTATTTGTCCTCTTCATCCATCAATTTTTAAAATTTTGTTTATTTTTTATACTCTTCTGCGATATCTGTGACATTTTGCCTATTTGTTTGTTGCGTTTTCAGTTGTTTGCAATGTTTATTTTCTTCAGGTTTGGGCTAAGTGCTCATCTTTTCTCTTTATAGGAACGGATCAATTTCAACAAACCGCATCGCTCTGCTGATCGGTATGGGGTGAATCATATTGATTTCAGTACTCTTTCATCTACAGCATAGTAGCGCTTTCATGCAACAATTTCGAGTGAGATGCCTATGAAACTCGAACGGAAGTTGAACCCGCACTTCGCCCTTTTTGAGACGCGTACTAACCGCTGCACTACCGGACTTCCTTTTACTATAACTCTTTCTGTATGTCTATGAAATCCGAACAGTAGTGAATCCGCATCTCACCTTTTCCGGGGCGCGTGCTAACCTTTGCACTACCGGATTTCTACTTTGCTATAAGTCTTTCCATAGTGAGGTAATTGAACAGTACAGATGTGATGAAGAATGAAGGATGGAATATATTAGGCTGGTGCAGAAATAATGGCGGTTTATGTGGTGATGAGCTGAGCCGGTTCCTCAGACGGGAATTGAGCCACATCTCACTTTTTTCAGGGGACGCATCAACCAACTGCACAGCTAACTCTCCTGTTCTGCCATCACTCTTTGTGCCACACTTATCATTTTCTTTGAATATCACTCACCATTATTGGGTTCAAGACCTGTGTGTGCTTGCCAAGAAGAAATCGTTGGCAGTTGGTTGCTGATAGATCGATTGTTTGTGTAGCAGAGAGAGTGATAGTAAAGCAGAAGCCCCGACAGCCCCACAGGCTAGCACGCGTACCCGTGGAAGGTGAAATAAAGGTTCGATACCTTCTGTCGTTCAAAGTTTTGCATATCAACCGCATTTTTGGGCAATGAATATTCCCGTGAGGAATTCGTATCCGATTCAGTACTCTCAATGTTTCATATCTTTTCATCTATTTCAAGGCAAGCGTTGAGACTGTCGAGCATCCATTCATCCGTGCCCACTTGAATTCCGACCACTAAACGTTCCCCTTTCTGAATATTTTTTCCATTTGTAACTAGTTCCTGCAATAAATTCATTACCTCAGGATCGAATCTAGAGTTTGCGTAGTTGGTGTTTGAGAGGTATCGCTTGAAGCATTTAATTTGCTGTAGCTAAGTAGCACCCTTTATTTTTGCTGGAAGAAAGACAGAATGAAGTGTTCAATGGCGAAGCGGATAATACGTGAGACTGCGGAGAAGGCGATTGCCGGCTCGAAGCCCACCACAGGCTCCGAATTTCTCAGCGCGTATCTCAGTGCCTTTGCTGGTATGTTGCAAACTCGGCTAGCAGTGCCTTTGACAAAGTTGTAGTTTAGGTGATAATCGCTATTTATTATTATTCAATTTTTTTTTTATTTACTTTTCTTATCTGTGAAGTTCAAGTTTTATTTTTCACCTGCCTCCTAATTTGAGAGTTTTATCCGATAACATTAGCATTACCGAGCCTCATATACGTACCGGTATTCTCTATACTGTTTCTACGAATGTAGGATTAAAATTTGT